AAAAAATGGAGCAAGAATTGTTCAACCACTTCTATAGCAAAAGAGGTACTGTAAGCGTAGTAGAACTTTGAAACACACATCAACGAAATGAAGAGTCAGTCTTTCACTTCATCAACCTATGGAGGCATGTAAATCTAATCTGTAAAGATAGACTTCATGAAGTTTTGGGCATAGATGCGCATTTAACGTATGCATTGGGGTCCCGCTATATTTTCAAGGCATAAAGCCTAAAACTTTTGAAAAATTGGCCACTCGCGCTCATGATATGGAGTCGAGCATGTTGTCGGTTGGAACTGAAGCGCCACTTGTCCAGGTACTCCGCAAAGTCAAAGAAAGTCAAGAATTTAAGAAAGTAGGAAAATATTTGCCCTAAGGCTGAAAACAAGGAATCCATGAACGTCAATACCTCTCATGTCAAATTCACCACAAGATTGGGCAATACACAGAGCGCAAAAGCGTCTTCTTTTGAAGGATGGACGAATCAAAAGCTCACCTTGAAGGAAATGCAGCGAAAGGACTACCTATTTCTTGACTCGAATGTTTCTGCAATCTTTGATGAACTCCTTAAGATGAAACTTTTTTGATTTACCAGAGATGAAACGAACATATGAAGTAGCGAGGAGTGATGATTCAAAATACTACAAATATCACTGGTTGGTTGGCTACCCTATTGAGAAATGATTCGTCTTCAAGGAAAAAATCATGGACTTAGCTCGCAAAGGGAAGTTTGAACTTGAAGATGAGAAATTGAGTTCAAACCAAGTCAATATCGCTTCTCACTTACCTAATCCAATCATTCCATGCAATTTTAATTAAGGAAATATGGATCAAGGAATTCCAAACATCAGTCAGACAAAAATGCTAAGTTTGAAGACTTCGAGCCCATTGATGTAAATAATTTGTTATTTTGTCCTATACTAAGTGAGGTGGCTTCTGTGGGAGAGGGATCAACAAGAGAAGATCAAGACTTAATCGATGATCTTGATGATTAGGGCTGGACTATTGTGAATCGTCGTAGATGCTGAAAAGCGAGTTCACATAAAGAGTCAACAAAGCAACACGTCAGGGAAAAGATGGTAATGAGACCCAAAACCAAAACTTTGATTCTGCATTCAAAGAAGAAGGAGATAAAAGTGCACCACTACCAAAAGTCGCATCAACTAATTACACTTGAAGAATATTTGCCAAATTGGTTTTACACAAGGTTTACATGATATGAAACAAAAGCTCTATGTCGTAAAGTCGATGATAAGAAAGTGAAACGTGCAACACCATCATGTCCATCACAAGAAGATGTTCTAATGTTATCTACTGAAATCAAAACTCTATCATTTCCATCACCAAAAGATGTTGCAAAGTCATCTCCTGGGACCGAAAATACATGTATGGCCAAAATCACATTCTCTGCTGATGATCTTTTGTTTGGTGAGATATTTTATAATCGACCTTTATTCATGGTTGGTTTTGCACGTGAGAGAAGGGTGAACAGAATCCTAGCCGATAGAGGATCTGGAATAAACATCCTTCCAATTAACACAATGAAAAAACTTGGGATATCAATAGAAGATCCAAATGATAGTTGTTTGATGATCCAGGGATTCAACCAAGGAGGACAAAGGTCCATAGGAAACATCCAAATAGACCTCACCATCGAAGAGTTGCAATCAAGCGTGTGGTTACATGTGACTGATATAAAGACTTCATATAACATTTTTCTTGGTAGGACGTGTGTACATGAAAAGTGATCCAATCTACCTACCACCAATGTTTGAAGTATTATGAGGATGGAGTTGCAAAAAGGATTATTGCAGATGATAATCCATTCACTGAAGCTAAAGTTCATTTTGTTGATGCAAAGTTTTACTTGAAGAAATATTTCGCAAAAGTTGATGACATTTTATCCAGAGATGTCATACTTCTTAACAAGATGGCTAAGGTAGCGCTTGGTAAGGTGAAATTTGCAAACAAGAAAGATCCAAAGCATGGTAGTCCAAACAAGATGCCTAACGTGATCAGTGATTTTTCAAGTAAAAATATCACATCCATTCTTCGTTATACCCAAAAGGTAAAAGAGGACAAGGGACACTCTACAGTTTAGAGAAAATGCGTTGCAAGCTTTGACCCTTCATGTAAGGCGAATTGCAATGATGAAGTCATCCACGAAATTACATGAGAAGTTTGTGGCTTCTAAGACATTACTACATAGAAAGTTTGTGGCCCCTAAGTCACCCTAATATATAAAGCACTCCCAATGAAGCGTATAGAGAAGGTTTTTATCCTAATGCTTACAAACTGCTAACAAAAGCTGGATTCGATCCTAATGAACCGTCAAGGTCTAATCCTTTCTAAAATGATGCAACAGAAGAACATTGTGGTCTCTTGTGGAGAAATACTAATGGCAAAGTCGCATGTTGTGGTATACACTAAGCAACGTGAGAAAGATGAAGAAAGTGTTGGCTCTTCATATCACGTCACTAGACAAGATGAAAGGCATACTTTTTCTCCAATTAAAATTGCTAGAGAGTCGGAAAATGTTTCAAGGTGTTACCATATATCTTTCAACAATGGAGAACCTCAAGAAGATGAAGATTTTAAAGATGCGCCACCCAATCTTGAAGAAGGAGTAAAGGTGACCTTTGATGCATTGAAATAAATCAACCTTGGAATTGATGAAGATCCAAAACCCACTTATGTGAATGCTTCACTGGCAAGTGATGAGGGAAGGGTCTACATCGACTTACTCAAAGAGTATAAATATGATTTTGCTTGAAGTTACAAAAAAATGTCGGGATTAGACCTGAAGGTGACAGTCCATCATCTTCCTGTGAAAATCGATGCACGTCCAATCAAGCAAGATCAACGGTGTTTTAGGCCTGAATTGGTTCCCGTGATCGAAACTGAAGTTAACAAGATTATTAAGGCTAGCTTTATCCGTGAAGTTAAGTACCCCACATGGGTTTCAAGTATTGTTCCCATGAGGAAGAATAATGGGCAAATTCGAGTTTGCATTGACTTAGAGATCTCAATAATGCATGTCCAAAAGAAGAATTTTCACTTCTTATACCTTAGATTATGATTGATGCGACTACCAGGTAAGAGGCAATGTCTTTTATGGATGGTTCATGTGGCTACAACCAGATCCGCATGTCACCAAAGGATGAAGAGTTGACCGCATTCCACACTCCTAAGGGCATCCATTGCTAAAAAGTAATGCCGTTTGATTTAAAAAACGCAGGAGAAACATACCAAAAATCTATGCAAAACATCTTTGATAACATTCTTCGCAAAATTTTGAATGTTACATTGATGATTTAGTTTTAAAATCAAGGAAAAAACTGTGACCACTTGCAAGACATGTGAATGGTGTTTGATCTACTATAAAGGTATCAACTTAGAATGAATCCTTTGAAATGTGCATTTGGAGTTACCTCTGGAAACTTGCTTGGCTTCATTGTACAACATCGAGTAATCAAAATTGATCAAGCAAAAATAAATGCAATTCTGAAGATGGTTGAGCCAAGAAACATTCAAGAATTGAAGATTCTGTAAGGAAATCTAGCATATCTTAGGAGATTCATCTTGAATCTAGGAGGAAAGAGCCAACCATTCAGTTGTCTTTTGAAAAAGAACACTTATTTCGAATGGGTACAAGCTTGTAGTAATGCCTTTGAGAGCATCAAGTCATACTTGACCAAACCACCAGTTTTAGCAGCTCCTCTTCGTGAAAAGCCATTGATACTTTACATATCACCTCAAGAAAGATCAGTGGGAGAACAATTAGCCCAAGAGAATGGCGAAGGGAAAGAAAATCTCCTTACTATCTGAGTAGGATGATGACACCAAATGAGTTGAAGTACTCGCCAACAAAAAGCTATGTTTGTCCTTGGTCTTCTCAATTTAGAAGATGAAATACTACTTTCAAGATCACGTCGTCCGTCTTATTTTTAAACAAATCCCATCAAATTTGTGATGTCGAAACCCATCCTCAATGATCGACTAGCAAGATGGTATCTCTAGTTTTAGCAATTTGAAATTGTGCATGTTCCTCAAAAGGTTGTGAAAGGGCAAGCATTGACAGACTTCTTAGTAGACCACCCGATACCTGATGATTGGGAACTCACTGATGAAATACCTGATGAAGATGCAATGGTTTTTGAAGTTCAATCACCTTGGAAAATGTATTTTGATGGGGCCTCATATCGTGAAGGCGCCGCACTCGAGTGGTATTCATCACTTCTCAAGAGGAGATCTTGCCATATTCCTTCACCGTAACATAATATTGCTCCAATAATATTGTTGAATATCAAGCCTTAATGCTTGGTCTTGAAATGGTGGTCGATATGAAGCAATTGCAGTTACAAGTTTTTGGAGACTCTAAATTATTTATCAATCAATTGTCGGTTGGTTATGAAGTCAAAAAGCTAGAATTACGCCTCTATCATGACTATGCACAAACATTGATTAGATGGCTTAGAGATGTAACTCTTTAACATGTTCCAAGAAAGGAGTATAAGAAAGTTGATGTCTTAGCTTCTTTGGCTTCAACATTGACAATGCCTCACAAAACTCAAATCACTATCTGCCAAAAATGAATAGTACCACCACATACAGAGGAAGAAAGCAAGCTTGAACATCTTGTAGATGTCTCACAAGCTGAGATGGTCGACTGGAGACATGTCTTGATTGATTATTTGTGCTACAATATCTTCCAAAATATCCAAAAACAAAGATCAAAATTCATCACCGTGCTTTTTGGTTTCTTTACTATAAAGATACTTTATATTGAAGATCATTCGAGGGGGTTCTCTTGTGTTGTTTAGGAGAAGAAGAAGCAAATCAAGCTATGCAAGAAGCACATTCTGGAGTTTGTGGATTGAATCAAACTGCGCCAAAATTGCATTTTCATATAAAAAGAATGGGGTATTATTGGCCAAAAATGGTAAAAAAATTGTTTGGATTATGCTCAAAGATATCAAGGATGCCAACTTCAAGCAAACTTTATGCACCAAGCTCCTGATGTATTACATCCGACTGTTGTATCTTGTCCATTTGATGCTTGGGGACTAGACGTAGTTGTACCTCTGTCAAAATCTTCTAATGGCCACTTGTACATCCTTGCACCGACAAATTACTTCTCAAAATGGGTTGAGGCGGTAGCCCTCAAAGAAATAAAGAAGGAAAATGTCGCAAACTTCATTAAGGTGAATATAATCTATCATTTTGTCATTCCTAGTTATATACTAACAGATAATGGAAAGCCATTTGCCAATAAATTAATCGATAAGATTTGTGGCCTTTTTGGCTTTAAGCAACGTAATTCTTCAATGTATTGTACTGCTGCAAATGGTCTAGCTGAAGCATTTAACAAGACCCTGTGCAACTTGTTAAAGAAATTCATCTCCAAATCTAAAAGAGATTGGAATGATAGAATGAAGGAACTCTTTGGGTATACCGGACGACTCATCGCACGCCAACTCAATCAACTCCTTATTCTCTTGGTTTTGGAACTGAAGCAGTCCTTCCACTTGAATAATAAATACCATCACTAAAGCTTGCCATCCAAGAGGGACTTACTGAAGAAGAAAATGCTTGTTTGTTCCTTGAAAAGTTAGAAGCTCTCGATGAGAAAAAGATGGAAGCTCAACAAATTCTTGAATGTTATCAAGCTCTTCTTTATTGTGCCTTCAATAAAAAGATTAGCCTAATGTCCTTCCAAGTTGGTGATCAAGTCCTTGTAGTTAGAAGACCAATTATCATATCTCATAAATCGAAAAGCAAGTTCACCTTAAAATGGGATGGACCATACGTCATCTAAGAAGTCTATTCAAGCGGAGCTTCCAAACTTGAGGATGCACACGGTTTGCAAATTGGTCCTATCAATGAAAAATTCTTGAAGAAGTAATATCCTTGAAGCGGTGCCATACTCCTGGTCTGCAAGATGTCTGCTAAGTTGAAAATCTCGAAAGAGGCGGCCTAGGCAAAAGTTAGGACACCAAAAAAAATTAAAAGCTCGCTTTTTGAACTACGTCATATTTGATCCTCTTCACAGAGGTACGTCGGTAGCTTAGAGTATTTTTAGTCTAGATTCAATCATCAGAAGAAATATAACGTCTCCATGTGAACATCATGTTGATTCTTTTAAATGAAGAGTTAAGCATCTAGATTTTGAGTTGACTTTGAAGAAAAATCTTCATTAATCTGTAAATCCTATAGACGTGATTTTTGTACAGACTGAAGATCTTGAAGTTATCTTTTCCACAAAAAAACTCATTATCCGGTGTTCTTACTCCACGTTAGGAATTTTCTTTCTCATGTGCGCAATTTTGAAGAAATCTGAAGATTCAAGTATGAAATTTTGAGCCAACTTCGAACACAAATCTGTACTAATCCGTAAATCACATGGATTTAATTTTTATAGAGATTGAAGACACCGAAATCATCTTTCCAACAAATAAAGAATCTCATTATTCCAATTCTCCTACTCCACGTTATGAATTTTCTTCCACATGTGTCCCAAGCTGAAGAAAGATGAAGATTCAAGCACACATATTTTGAGCCAACTTCGAACACAAATCTGAACTAAATCGTAAATCTCATGGACGTAATTTTTCAATAGATTGAAGATCTCTAAGTTATCTTTCCAATAAAAAAATAATCTTATTATTCTGATGCTTCTACTTCACATTATGAATTTTCTTTCACATGTGCGCAAAGATGAAGAGTTAACGTTTTGTCGCTATCCTTTATAAAGGCTAGCTTATGGAGTCTTTATTTAATAAGGAAGGTGTCTCGTAGAAAGAAACAATCAAAATTAAAAATTCAAGATGAGGGATTTCTTATTGAAGTATAAGTCACTATTTTATTGCTTAAAAAAAACCAATACACCATAATGAGTGAATCAGAAAATTCTAAGCAAATAATAAAAAAAGAAAATCTAACTACGGAAAAAGTATGATTTCTTGGCGACTTTTCTCGATCGCCTCATCTAGCTTGTCTAGTCTCTCAACTTCATCGCTAGACATCACATTATTTGCCTCAATGGTGTAAACCTTGCCCTCAATAATGGTGACATTCTCTTGACTTTTGGACAACTTCTATTGATATTGGTTAATAAGCGTTGTGACCTTCTTTTTCTTGAAATTCAAGACTTTTGAGTCTTTCTCTGCTTCTGCTAGAGTTGCTTGAAGTTTCTCCATGGATCCATCCAACTTTTCATGTTCCATATTTGCACTATCAAGACGGCGTTACACATCAGAGAGGGCCTTTTCATGTGATTTTTGATTCATTCTTGATGATCTTAAAGTATCATACTCTGCATACGACATGAAGAAATTCTCTACATGATCCTCCAAAGAAGAGGCACCTATAAAATAAGAGACTTCAGGTGTGGTTCGTCGTCGAAGTTGCAACTTCAAAAAGGGATACTTCAGGTGTGGTTCTTCATCAAAGTCATGACCCTAAATTAAGATGCGCCACGCCGCAATTGTAGAAGAAGATGTACTAAGTGTGGTTCATCGCTAAAGCGGCAATAGCAAAAAAAAGGCACCAAATGTGGTTTGTCATCAAAGTTGAAGCCACGAAAGAAGAGATATCAAGTGTGGTTCGTTGTCAAAGCCACAACTGCAAAAAAAAAGAGGATATTTCATGTGTGGTTTGTCATAAAAGACACAAACTCTAAAACAAGATGATCCACATATGATTCGTCATCAAATCCGCAATTGTAGAAGAATATGTAATAAGAGTGGTTCGTCCTAAAGCCGTTATTTTAAATGAAGAGGCACAAAGTGTGGTTCGTCATCAAAGCTAAAACTACAAATGAAGATGCATGAAGTGGTTCCTCGTCAATTTTGGATTACCCCACATTTTTTATGATATGATATTGAGGTTGTTTTTGATCCATCGTAAACCCGTTGAAAAAAAGTGATGTGTCTCACGGTGCCAATTACACGAAGCTTCAAATCGACATAGTGAAAATTATGTCATATGCTTTAGCGCTCGTTATGATGAAAAATGTGTCTCACGGTGCTAATTGCACAAAGCTTCAAATTGGCATGATGAAGATTATGGCATATACTCTCGCGCTTGTCATGATGAACGATGTGTCTCACGGTGCCAATTGCACGAAGCTTCAAATTGACATGGTGAAAATTAAGACATATGTTATAGAGCTCATCATGATGAAAGATGTGTCTCACGGTGCCAATTGCACGAAACTTCAAATCACATGATGATTTGACAAAAAAATCTCAATCAATCAGTATGCAGCTCTTCGGCAAAGATACAGAGAAGTGAACTCATGGATGTTGTCCAAAGTCAATTGGATTACTAGCTTTAAAAAATGTCAATTTTGATGAGGTCATAAGAACTTTGACTTTGATTTTCTAATCAAGTCACTCTCCATTCGAGCTCTCCAACAGCAAGACGCAAACGTTTTGGTGAGACTCCACAATCTAGAAAACAATAATGACAGAATCAAAGACCAACTTCAAAAAAATTAAAATTCTCATCAATCCATGAAGAGCTTCACCTTGATTTTTTGATATGTTATAGATTATTATGTCTAGTTTCTATAGAAAAATTGCTCTTCATTCAAAATCTCCTACACCAAGATAGAGATGTTTTGATGGGAATGCATAGAGCTATAAAAAAAAAAAGACAGGTTTGATAGCAAACTTAAAAAATCAATTACCGTCAATTCCGAAAGATTTTGGTTTTGAATTTCGGATATGTCGTAGCCCTCTAAGACTGATTTCTGGAACATTAAACGGATTATGATTTCAATGTTTTTACAACAAGTTATGAACTTTCTACTGCAGGTGTGTTGTGCTGAAAAATGTGACGAAAACTGAGTTTTGTATGCCTCAAATTGACAATCAATCATTGGAAGATCATGTGTATTTATAGAAATCAAAAGTACATAAATTGTGTTTCTACAAATTATGAGAAATTATAATGATGGAAAGTTTATTTTCCACAAATTATGAAAATTATGGTAAATTTTTATAAGAATTAAATATGGAAATTTTCAATGGGAATCAAATTATAGAAATTGAAACCAAATTATGGCAAATTTTCATAAGATTTAAACTATGAAAATTTTCCAAATAAGTCGATTTATGGAATCTCATAGAAATCAAAATATGATAAGGTTTTCTCGGAAGCTAGACGGGAGCAAAAAAAATGTCCCGGAGGAGAATAAACCCACGCAATGAGAATTTGAATTCCTTACATTTTATTCAACTGATTGAGCAAAGTTGAAAAAAAAACCACCGGCCGGGCATTCAACCCCAAAGAAAGCCTAAAATTTACGTCGAAATCATAAGGTCTCTATCACCAAGTCAAGCTTGTAGACGCAATCCTTGCTCATTGAATTGGCGGTCATTTCGTAGTTGATGACCCAAATGAAATTACCCCACTATGAAGAAATATCATACGATAAGTCTTCATGAGCTCGAAACACTTCAAGTCGAAAGTGAGTTGATAAACAACCGAAAGTAAAATGATCTCTCACAAATTAGAGAATATTGTCATGAAGATTCTGGTAAATGTTGACTTGTAGTCATTTCTCATGAAGTTTAAAATGCTTCGTGAAAGATCAACTGTGAAATAAAAAAACATTTGCTTCACAAATACTTCAAGGCTTGTCTTTACAAGTTCGACAAATTGAACACCCTAACAAGCCTCGAAGCAGGGGGCATTTGTATACATTGAAGTTTTATTGACAAATCCATACTAAATTTGGATTAAATCTTAAATTCATGATATGTTGACCAAGTTAAATTACTGTATATAAAGTCAGATTAATATTTAAATCAGAATTATATGACCTAAATCAAGTCCAAAAGACATTGAGCCAAGTCCATTAAGCTGACAAGATGAGCTTAACTCATGTTCTTCAAACCCATGGGTCAAAATTGCTAGGACCAAAATACCCCTAAAGCCCTATCTCAGGCCTATATAAGAAGGTTTTCATAAGATCAAAATACACACAAATACATACATACATAAATACATAGTTGCTCTTGAGTGTTGATCTACAAGTCTTCCGCATACAAAGAAGTATTCGCTCCAAATGTTGAGCCGCAAGCATCCCGTCAAATCAAGAACATCCGTGAAGAGAAAATAAGATGATTACATCTTTTATTAAAGATTTCATAAAGATTGTAACCTTCATATTAATTCAAATACAAATATCATTGTTTGCTTGCTATTTTTCCTTTCTTGTTTGCTGTTTTCAAGGACGAAACTTTAGACGCTTACAAATATTATACTCAAAAGTCTCAAAAATTATTTACAACATTATTATTCTTTATTACAAATAATTAAAAATCTCAATATTTACTTCTTCAATCTTTCAAGATATTTGTCTCTTTTGTTATTGTATTTTTTCCCTCTTTCAATTTTGTTTAACACAATGGAGTAATTTAAAAAAGATGAAGTTGAGTTGCTTTCTTTTCTAATAAAACTTAGACACACAACACATGTTTGATAGTTCATGATTTTTTTTTGGTCTTCATTATTTTGTTTTTCCTTCTTTTATTTGTTTATC